TTGAACAACACAGGTCTCAACACTGATCCCTATTATTTGGTAAATAATGAGTTCTATTGATACAAATTGAACTGCCTCAAAAGACAGAAGAGCCATGGTTATGCTCTGATCAGTAAGCTGAGACTAGGGGCACTGGCCATCCTCTGGCTCTGTGTTCTCCTGGCTCTTTTCCTGAATCCAGTTCTCTAGGTCAGCTTTACACTTTACTTCTGAGGGGGTAAGGAATGGAAAACCTGCAGATCCCAAGCCAGCACGTACAAACTGTGCTTGTAACTTCTCATTATGGTAACAAGTGAAGAACTTCTGGACTTAGACTGACTTTGAAGGCAGAATTAAGGTACTGTAGGAGTATGAACTAGCAGAGGAGTGAAAGTATCTAAATTCCGATTGTAGTGTTTTATGAGTCTGTACATCAAAATTGAAGGCAAAATCCTGTTCTGCATTTCTCTGACCATTCTAGGAATAAAAGATCATCTTCACTTTTCAGACAAGTCTTTCCTCAGTACACATCTCCCAATTTTCACAAGAGAAGGAGGCATCCATGGACAGCACCTTTAGATCCTGTAGCAGATAGTATGTTATTCTGTTAGCTAAACTTGTAACAAAATGACTACATTACAAAGAAGGACAAAGAATGAATGTGACAGGGTGTAGTTACATGACACTTCCTGACTTTTACTTGTTTACTTTGTAATCTCAGCAGTATTTTAACATGCATTTGTTCCTCTGGAACACCCTTCTTGCTTTGGAAAAATCAGGTGTTTAAAATTTCTCTTAGTAGCTTTAGACTGAAAGCAAAAGATTTCTGTCCCATGAGTCAGAAATAGCAGGTAGCACTAGGAAGTTACAGGACGATAGAGTGGTTTGGGCTGGAAGGAGCCTTAAAGCTCATCCAGCTCAAGCCCCTGCCACGGGCAGGGACACCTTCCCCTAGAGCAGGTTGCTCCAAGCCCCTGTGTCCAACCTGACCTTGAACTCTGCCAGGGATGGGGCAGCCACAGCTTCTCTGGGCACCCTGTGCCAGCACCTCAGCACCCTCCCAGGGAAGAGCTTCTGCCTAAGAGCTCATCTCAATTTCCCCTCTGGCAGGTTCAAGCCATTCCCCTTGTCCTGTCCCTACATCCCTTGTCCAAAGCCCCTCTCCAGGTTTCTTGTAGCCCCTTTAGGCTCTGGAGCTGCTCTGAGGTGTCACCTTCAGGAGCCTTCTCTTCTCCAGCTGCCCCAGCCCAGCTCTCTCAGCCTGGCTCCAGAGCAGAGCTGCTCCAGCCCACGGAGCATCTTCATGGTTTCCTCTGGGCCTACTTATCTCACAGGAGGCCACGAGAAAACAGCTTTACTTGCTGAGAGTAGAGGAATGAGGAAATTCAGGGATCTGGGGTTCCTTTCTAGTTCAGGTAACCCAGTGTGCCATAGTTTCAGAGTTATTGCTTAGTCCTCTCTGATGCTGTATCTGCTCTGTGCAGGTTCTCAACTGCCAATTTCAGATGAAGTGTGGACACAGTAGGATCTTCTCAGAGGTTCATTACTTAACACACTGCAGCACGATCCTCACGTTTAGAGGAAAAAACATGTTCTTGACACACAAGTTTTCAGCCTTTTTACCACATTTAAGTGGTGTTGTCCAAACCACAGAGATTCTTAATTAAATAATTGTGTGTTTTAATACACTCAAAACATCACCGCCACCACCCCAAACTTGTAGAAGACTGCAATGAGTTGATATAAATATTCTTTGAGCTATTTTATTTGGAATTGGGCTGAACAGCATGTGAAATTTCAGCTCAATAGCCACAAACTGGTAATGTCACAAGCAGCTGCAAGTTCTTGTAGTGGAAACCTATTTGCAACTGAATTCCAGACAGTGTGGCCACTCTGCCTTTGATGAAACACAACAAAGTTTGTAGTAGTTTGTAGTAGTAACAAACTGAAGGAGTTAGGCAGTTGATGAGAGAAGACTTCATGTAGCATTCTCACATTCATGTTGTGTTTTCTTTGCAGAAGCCTTGGCTTTGGGACCATAGAGAGTGCTGGACAGGATATCCACAACAGGTGAGTCCTGCAAGAGGGAAAATTGCTGTTATAAATCATGTACTGTCTTTTGAAAATCAGGTTATACTAGTGACAAAAGAAAGAGCACTGAGTTAAATTCAGACTTGGGAGCCCTAAGAATTCAAAGCCAGATCCTCATCAAGGGAGAATTTCTTTGTATCTAGTATAATCTAAACACAATAGACATTGTCTGGAAAGCATGAGGAGAAATTAAGAGAAAGGGAGACTTCTGACCAGGTGAGCCAAGAAACTGAAAAATGGGAGTGCTCCAATGTTTAGTTTGTAGAGGAGACTGAGGACAGAGAAGGAAATGTTACCTGAGGAGACGTGAAGACTTGAGTGGAGAGTATGTAGAACGGAGGACATGCTCTGAGTGCTATGTACTTGCGGCTATACTGAAGAATCATAGAATGGTTTGGGTTGGAAAGGACCTTAAGATCATCTAGTTCCAACCCCCTGCCATGAGCAGGGATACCACACACTCAACTATGTCACCCAAGGCTCTGTCCAACCTGGCCTTGAACACTGCCAGGGATGGAGCATTCACACCTTCCTTGGGCAACCCATTCCAGTGCCTCACCACCCTCACTGGGAAGAACTTCTTCCTTATATCTAACCTAAACTTCCCCTCTTTAAGTTTGAACCCGTCACCCCTTGTCCTACCACTAGAGTCCCTAATGAAGAGTCCCTCCCCAGCATCCTTATAGGCCCCCTTCAGACACTGGAAGCTGCTCTAAGGTCTCCACGCGGCTTCTCTTCTCCAGGCTGAACAGCCCCTGACCATCCTCGTGGCCTCCTCTGGACTTGCTCCAACAGCTCCATGTCCTTTATGTGTTGAGGACACCAGAACTGTGCACAATACTCCAAGTGAGGCCTCACAAGAGCAGAGTAGAGGGGCAGGATCACCTTCTTTGACCTGCTGGTCACGCTTCTTTTGATGCAGCGCAGGATACGGTTGGTTTCTGGGCTGCAAGCGCCCACTGAAGCCAGCTCATGTCAAGCTTCTCATCAACCAACACCCCCAAGTCCTTCTCCGCAGGGCTGCTCTGAATCTCTTCTCCATCAACCTGTAGCTGTGCCTGGCATTGCCCTGGCCCAGGTGTAGGACCTTCATGTCCACAGTGCTCCCCAAGGAGAGCAGGATAATGAGGAAAGAGAACAAATCTAAAAACACCTTCTCCCTACCCTCTTCTTCCTGGACTCAGCTTCACTCCTGACTTCTCCACCTCCTCCCCCTGAGCATTGCATGGCGACAGGAATGGGGCTTGTGGTCGCTTCATCACACATTGTCTCTGCTGCTCCTTCCTCCTCACAGCCTTCCCCTGATCCAGCATGAGGGCGCAATGAGGAAAGAGAACAAATCTAAAAACACCTTCTCCCTACCCTCTTCTTCCTGGACTCAGCTTCACTCCTGACTTCTCCACCTCCTCCCCCTGAGCATTGCATGGCGACAGGAATGGGGCTTGTGGTCGCTTCATCACACATTGTCTCTGCTGCTCCTTCCTCCTCACAGTCTTCCCCTGCTCAAGCATGAGGTCCCACCCATGGGATAGAGTCCTCCATGAACCTCTCCACTGTGGGTCCTTTCTACATGATGAAGCCCTTCAGGAAGGGACTGCGCCAGGGTCATCCTCTGTGGGGCCACAGGTCCTGCCAGAAGACCTGCTCCAGTGTGGGCTCCTCTCCATGGGATCACAGGTCCTGTCAGCAGCCTTCTCCAGTGTGCTCCCTCCATGGGGTAACAGCCTTCTTTGGGCACATAGCAGCTCCAGCATGGGGTCTTCTACAGGCCAAATAATCTGCTCCACCATGGACCTCTATGGGTCCGCAGGGAACTTTCTGCTCTGGTGCCTGAAGCACCTCCTTACCCTCCTTCCTCACAGACATTGGTGGCTGCAGAGTCTTCTCTCACTTTTTCTCCCTCCTCTCCCCCAGCTCCTGTTGTGTAGCAGGTTTTACCACTTCTTAAATACGTTCTCACTGCAGTACTCCCAGTGTCACTGATGGGCTCAGCTTTGGCCAGCAGCTGGTCCAGTCTTGAAGCTCTCTGGAACTGGTTCTGTCAGCCATGGTGCAGCTTCTGGCATCTTCTAACAGAAGCCACTCCTTGCAGCCCTGCTGCTACCAAAATCTTGCCATGTAAACACAATACACACACTTTTGAACATCTATAACAAACAGAAAAGACCTAAACCAGAGCTCATAATGTCCTGCTGGCAAAGAGCAGGAAAGGTCAAGGAGAAACCTGTGCATTAGCAAGAATGAAGAATGTTTTGAATACAATTCCTAATAAACACACCATGCACTCTGATAGAGACAATGACAAAATAAATAGCAGTTCTCCCAGATTATCTTATCTGTGGGGGAAAAATAAAAGCCCTTCTGATCCAGAGCTCCTGTTTGGATAATCTCCAGTGTGAACAGCACACACCAGCCTGGGAGAAGTTAATATCCCCCTGTAGCACCAGTGCGTCCAGCTGTGCTTCCTCTCCTGGCCAGTCACTGGTGGTACAAAGGAAGACAAACTAAAACCTATGAAGGCCATTCATGAATGTTTTGGGTAGAGAATGCTCAGTCAAACTGGTATTTGGGAGCACCATACTCCCCAGTTCTTAGAAATGGTAGTTGCAAAGCCCCATTGTCATAGTAATTTTTTTTTATAGTCAAATAGTTTCAGGAGGGCATAAAGTGCCACAACAGTGAAAAATTCCTTGTTAAATAGCACATATCTTGCTGAGTGGGTTGAAGCTTTTAGTTTTCCAGCTGTGCAACCCCACACTGGGGATGTGCTTTCCCCCTCTTGGTTTGATGAAACTGAAAAGTCAGTGCTAGAGGAAAAGGTGGCTGAAGCATCTCCTTGAATCCTAAAAAGTGAATCCATATATTTAGCTACTACTTATCTGTTTCACCGTAGTGAAATGGTTTGTGTAGTTTTTAAAGCTCTAGAATGACTGCTCAGGAATCTGCACAGTGCTAAAGAAACACAGTGTTCAGGATCTTCCTGGTGGTTCCTTAAATGTTCCACATGATTCAGCAAAGTGGAATTTCCCCGGCTATTTGCTTTTGCCTCAGCACAGATGACATTTAGTAAGTAACACATTGTTCAATTGAAGTATTTCCCCCCTGAAGCTGCAAGAACCAGTTTTGTTGGTTTGGTTTCTGATATTCTTTTGCCTAGGAAGGAGCCTTCACTTCCAGCCCTTGCTCTGCTTTATCTGATGGGTGGTTCACTGTCTCTCCCTCTCTCTCACAGCCCCTCCAGCCCTCCCTGTTCTGGTACTACCTGTTGGAGCTCTCCTTCTACTGGTCACTGGTCTTCACCCTGCCCTTTGATGTGAAGAGGAAGGTGAGTGGCAAGCCTTAGGGAAGAATCAAGCTCGAACAGGCTGAATGCTGAGGAGTGTCATCTTCAAGAGCAGTGTATAGTGGTACTCTGAGGTTTTGGGGCACTCTTTCCTTGCTCATTCCCAGTCACTGGCTTCCCTCTCCTCTGGGAAGTGGAGAATATAAACCATGACATAGAAAGGCACAAACTACTGCAGAGTTCTCAATCCAAATGTAAAAGCTACTCTTCTGGGCTGCACTAATCACTGAGAGGGGAAAAGAGGTGATTCTCTGCCAGTTAAGCTGCATGTGCACCTAGGTGCCAGTGCCCCACGGAGAGGGTGCTGCATGGTTACATACACAAGCATTGAGGCTTGTAATTAAAGAGTGATTGAGTCTCCATCAGTGAGTAGGGGGTATGAGATGATTGTGCAAACAGGTAGGAATGGGCACAGAGCAGAGATGCACATGGGCACTGCTTTGTGATGAATCATTGGCTTTTGTTCTTCTGTCTTCTGATTTGCATCATCATGGGACCATTTCTGAGGGAGGGAGAGAGTGTTCTTTGTTGTAAGATCCTCAGTTTATACCATAAACTGGTCTCTTGGTTGCCTGTGTTTCTGGAATGTGTTTGGTAGAAGACTTCTATGGACAATATCTTATAGTGGGAGGTTTCTTAGTGACTGGGTAGAGATTTCATTGCTACCTGCAGGAGGCATGTTTTAACAAGGGCAGAAGGTGCATTATGGATTTTATTCCCTGCTGTCCCCTTTCTCATCAGGATTTCAAGGAGCAGATAGTCCATCATGCTGCAACCATCTTCCTGATCAGCTTCTCATACTGTGCCAATTACATCCGCATTGGGACCCTGGTGATGGTCATTCATGATGCTTCTGATTGCTTCCTAGAGGTGAGCTCCACAGCTTACACGCCAGGCAGTGGTGCTCCTCAGCCAAAGGGTGCCTTCTGACCTAGCACAGTGTGGGCCTGGCATTATGGTGTTTCCCAGCTAACTCAATACTGATCTGACCCAGCCTAGGGTGCCCTTGCAACCAGCCAGGAAGAGGCACGATGGACTGCATGCAGATTGTGTCATACCTGGCTCTTTAGCACCCTGGAGCACGTGCGGATGCGCTCACTGTCTTGACCTGCTGTTTTACTGTTCTTTCTCCTTCCAGCCAACTAAGATATTCAATTACATGAAGTGGAAAAAAACCTGTGACAGCCTCTTTATGATCTTCTCAACTGTTTTCCTCATCAGCCGCCTGGTCGTTTTCCCCTACACGTGAGTCTGCTGCAGCAGAGGGAACTGGAAGAGCTGCCTTCTGAGAGACAGGATTGTTCAGCTGGGTGCTGAATCTTCTGCTGCAGCCCTTGCTTTTCAGTCCTTGAGCATATGTCCCTGCCCTTTGCACAGGCCACAGTGCCACATGGCTGTTGCAGCTGCCTTGGGATTAAGGAGGGTGGTCTGCCTTGAAATTCATAGAGTAGTCTTAAAGTCCTGAAAAATATTGCAGAGGAGGAGTCCTTGGCTCTACCCTCTGATTTCTGGTGGGAAACTGGGAGTTGGCTCACATGGGTTATATATGTGAAGAAGGTGATTGCCCTTAAACTTCCTCTGTGACTAGAGCTTTCTAGGGCTTAATTACGGCCATACTAGCGACATACTTTCACTCCACTGCAATTCCCTCTCTTTTGCAGAGTGCTCTATAATACCTACTATTACTCCATGGAGATATTCCAGCCCTTCTTTGGATACTACTTCGTGAATGCTCTCCTGATAATTCTGCAGCTGCTCCATGTCTTCTGGTCCTGCCTAATTATTCACATGGTCTACATGTTCATCCTCAGGGGCACGGTATGGATTGGTCTGGAGTCCCCTGTACATCACCTGGGGAGGGAGGATCCACCTAGACTGCTTGGCAGCACAAAGGTTCCTCTGGGATGGATTCTTTCTTGCCCTAGTGAAATAATACATGTACATTCCTAAAAGTGGGGTGAAAGGAACACTCAATATTATTAGGGAAAGTTGACCAAAAATAGTTACTACACTGTTGGGTCTACTTCTGATGCTTGTATTCAAGAACAATGTGGATTGGACTCCAGGGGAGATTTCCATTAACAAAGCTAGTGATATCTGAGTAAGGGTCCCAGCACTTGCTCCAGCATGATTTGCATTTGTAACAAAACTAAGAAATTAGACAGGGAAAGTTGTCATGATTGGTGAGGCCAGTGCAAAAGTGCTTCCTCTATAGTACAGGATTTTTAATGACAGTATTACTGAGATCACAGAATGGCTGAGGTTGGAAAGGATCTCTGGAAGTTTTATCCATATTCCCTGGCTCAAGCAAGATCACTTAAAAGTAGGTTGCCCAGGACCATGTCCAGACAGCTTTTGAATATTGCCAAGGATGGAGACTCCAAAACCTCTCTGGGCGTCTTGTGCCAGTGCTCGTCACTCTCTCAGTGAAGAAGTGTTTCCTAATGTTCAGAGGGAGCCTCCTGTGTTTCAGTTTGTGCCCATGGCCTCTTGTCCTGTCACTGGGTACTGCTGAGAAGAGCCTGGCTGCATCTTCTTTACACCTTCCTTTGGGGTGTTAATACACACTGATAACATCCCCCTGAGCCTTCCCTTCTCCAGGCTGAACAGTCCCAGCTCTCTCAGCCTTCCCTCATCCACGACGTGCTCCATCATCTTCATGGCCCTTCACTGGACTCTCTGCAGCATGTCCGTGTGTCTCTTGTACTGGGGAGACCAGAGCTGGACCCAGCACTCCAGGTGAGGCCTCACCAGTGCTGAGCAGAAGGGAAGGATCACCTCCCTCATCCTGCTGGCAATGCTCCTCCTAATGCAGACCAGGGACAGCAAGGGCACATTGCTGGCTCGTGTTCAACTTGGTGTCTGCCAGGACTTCCAGGTTTTTCTTAGAGAAGCTGGTCAGCTCCAGCATGTTCTGGTGCCTGGGGTTCACACTTCCCCCTGTTGAACTTCACAAGGTCTCTGTCATCCCGCTTTGCCATCCTGCCAGGATGGCAGCACAGTCCTCTAGCTTATCAGCCACTCCTCCCAGTTTTGTGTCTTTAGCACATTTGTTTGGGGTACACTGTGCCTCATCATCAAGATCATTAACACGTTTCATATGGTTTGTCTTACAGTGCTGTAGATGTCCACAGAGTAGATGTTTCTGACAAAACTAGCTGTCTGGGCTGTTTGGAGCAGTAGGGAAGTCCAAAGCATAATCCATTCCATATTTCACCCAGGTAGTGCTGTTCATCAGTCACAGAGCAACCCTAGATGAAAGTCTGAGATGCAGCTGTATAAACTTAAGTGAAATGGCTCCTACTCTTTCTGACCCATCATTTGCTGTGAGACAAAACTGCTGCTCAGCATGAAATTCTTCCCAAAATCAAAGACATGACCTAATGGCATTTAAATTGGCCACATGCCGAAGAGACAGTCCAGGAGTAGGAAGTCAGTGCCTTGTGGGAGTTCACCTCATAGCCCAAAATGAGTTGTTTTATTAGTATCCAACTGGGGAATTCTGCGTTATGGGAACTGAGAAAAAGCATTAAAGGCTCATCTTCATCCATATTGTCCCCTTTTCTTCCCTTAAGGTAGTGCAGAGCAAATTCCTTGTAAATCAGGAAAGAGAAATTTCACAGGGAAGAAAATGAAGACACAATTGAAGATGTCCTCTTACTATTTTCCTCATCCTAGTTGGGGCTGAATTACCATTGCAGGTATTACAGTGTAAAATGATGAGGTAACAAGTAGACTTACTAGAAAGAAATGAACCATCAAGGAGAAAAATGCTGAGGCATCGACAGAATTTTCCCTATTTTAGCTAAAATCACCTGCCACATTTTATGAAAAATATGTTTGAGAGCTTTGCATTTTGAGCAGTGAATAACAAAGAACAATCATCCTAAAGAGATCTGTTTCAATGGTGATATTTAGTAGTCCAAAGCAGTATCAGCAAAAATAGACATTCTCCCCTTTATAAGAGCCATGAGATTCTCACTCCACTCAGAAGTTCACATTCTTCTCATGGGCCTTTCTGATCTCCCCAGTTTTCATCTCTGGCTGCAGGATTATCTACAGCACCTTCTCACATGATGTCCCCTAATCCCCAGGAATGAGAACTCAGCCTAGATGTGTACTTCAACTTGAAGTACAAGTTTCATTCCCTCATACAGGCAGCCTGAGATACACTGCTGGGATTCATACAAGTTCCCTTGTGAATCTTGGTTGGTTTAAGGCCTCAGCCACATTCTGTGGCCATGATAAAATTAGGAATATTGATCGCTATTTGTCCCTTTGCTGCAGATCCCTGCATAGTTCCTAAACTGCCAGGTCCAGAATGACGCGAGGCCCAGGTTATTCACACATCTCCCACCCATAGTGTCCTTGGGGGCAGTTTGAATTCAGTGCCAGTTTAGATTCTTACAAATCCTGTCTGCATTTGGGTGACCTCTAGAAAGAGCATCAGACCAAGTGGACTTCTTAATATTATTCAAGAGATATCCCAAGAAGAATGGACAGAGTAAATGGAGACTACAAGTGTCTGTGCAGCAACAGACATGCTCCTGAGCAGTCTCCAAAGCTCAGGTCACAGAAGGGGTTGGCTTCTTTCCCTTGGAGCACTCTTCCCAACAAGGAGTGTGACACTGTGCATTTGTCCCCAGTTCTGGCATCTTGTATTGTGGAGTAGAAACAGCCTGGGAAGGCAGCATGTGCTGGGCTGCTTTTTCTAAGCTGTCATCACATTGTTTCTTCTCTGTCTTTATTTTAAGGCAATGAATTAAATATTTGCAAAAGTGGATTACAGATCTCTCAGTCAATAGCAAAAGGACATAAAAATGAGTGTAAAGGACATAAAAATGAGTGTAAAGGACATAAAAATGAGTGCAACCAGAGCTGAGTGGGTTTGTGTTGAGCTGTTGGTTTGTTTGAAAGCAAATGCTTCCAAACTGTGCCAAGCAGTGTACTCAACCTGCAGCCATCCAGGCCAAGCGTGGTCAGAAGCTATCTCCTTGTCCCTTTTGGAACATGTAAAAGAGCATGATTAACTGCCTCCCCCATCCTTCTTCCAAATGTTTATGCTCAAAGCACTAGGATGGATCTCCTCAGTCTTACATGATTGTCCTCAGGCATGGCTATCTGTGTTTTGGTGCTGCTTCTCAACCAGTACTGTAATTTGTAATGTGTACCAGGCCAGGTTGGACACAGGGGCTTGGAGCAACCTGCTCTAGTGGAAGGTGTCCCTGCCCATGGCAGGGGGTTGGAACTGGATGAGCTTTAAGGTCCCTTCCAGTCCAAACCATTCCATGATTTCATGATCACAGCTGGGATTACCCTGAGGCTGAAGTCAAAGAGACAGAGAGAATCTTGTTTCCAAAGGTGATGTAAAAGCTGGAAGGACACAGTACAACTGTATGCCAAAGGCTGAGGCACACATTTATCTGAGGCAGCAGATGAACGTTCACCCTGTGGCTCAGCCAGCACTGCTTCTTGTGCAGAGTTCTATGTTGATTGCTTCTCATTTACATGTTTCTTTAGATGGAAAAGGACATGAGAAGTGACACAGAAGAAAGTGACAAAGATGAAGAAAAAGAGAAGATTAGGGAAAAGGAGAAAAACAGGATCACGTGTTTCAACAACGTCACAAGCAACAGTTGTATCCAGAGGAATGGGTCTGAGCCACTGAACAACAGAACCCATCTCACCAATGGCCATGTCAAGGAAAGATAGTTACTGTGCCTGTGCTGCTGATCTGGTCTTACATTAGCCCAGTTCACTGTCTTTAGAAACAGTTTTGCTTGTTGTGTAGACAAATTGGAGTGCAATTGCAGTATCATAGCTGAATTCCTGCTTCCTGTAAACAGAAGTGTTTAGGGTCAGTGATAGTTGGAGGAAGTTTTTGGTCTTTCTTCAATAAAAGCTTACTGTAGGTTGTAGCCTTGAAGCAGATAGAAAGGGATCAAAGTGGTTTGACATGTGTTAGGCTGTACCACAGTGGTTGTTAAATGTGTCAATCTTGAAAAATGCTTTATAAAAACAAAAAAAAGGTGGATAAACTCTGACAGCATCAACTTTTAACCACATAATGCTGTTTGAAAGGACTCTGTTTAGCCTTTACCAGCCTCTGGAGGCCCTGGCCCGTTGCCACTAATGGTTATGGCTAACAAGTAAGTGTGAGACTCTAAATCTTAATGTGGGGAAACCTTTGAGAAGACAGGTGCCCGTACACAGAAGATTAAAACTGAGCATAGTGAAATGGAAGCTTTGGAAACACGCAGGAGAAAACATTTTCTTCTCAAGGGAAATGCTGCTGTGTGCCCTGTGACCAGTTTTGTATGGTATGGGTCTCAGTCCCTTCTGTTATCAGCATTATTGCCACAAAAGTGGGAACTCCAAAGCCCAGAATGGAGAGAGTGCCCACCCAAATCATAGCTGGAAGAGCTGGAAAATCCAGGCAACTGTGTCTCAACTGCCAGGTAATCCTTTAAACCTGTCTGAGAAGTAAATGCAGCTGGAGGGAGGTGAAAAGAAACTAGGTAATCTAGAAAACCACCTGATTTAAGTGCTCATGTTTTCACCTGGTGTGATTAACACAGCAGGAGATGTTTACAGAGTCAGCTTGTGGCAAGAAGGGAATACATTTCCCCTAGCCTCAGAGGAAAAAGGATCCAGAGAAGGTCTGCTGAACCTTATGGAATAATGCTTTAATATGGCCTTCTAACTCTAGGGCCTTAGCCTAGACGTATCAAGAAAAGCAAACTTAAGGCAGTAGTCCATGAAGTCATGATGCAGTTCTGATTCAGTTTGTTTAGATGTCCTATATTCTACATCCTGTGTAGTATTAGACTTTGAATTCTGTAATACCTTAGAAGACTTAAATTAGTATGACATGAATTTCTGGTTTATAGATCAATTACTCTATGAAACCAAAGTATTAACAGATTCATTGCAATGAGTGCAGGGACTTTGACTGCCAAGGCCATGCTGACACTTTCCTATATGTGTCCAGTAAGAGCCAGTGCTCACTAGGGAAGGACGTGCACCAAGGAAACGTGTGACTTGAGGAGCACATGTTTAAAATTAAAAGGCAAGTGACAGCATAGAAGAGGAGGGTTTTCAGTAACCTACTTGGTTCACCTGAGATGTGGCTGAGAGAGCTTTGATCTGAGCTTGCATGTGCTCATCTTGGGTTGCAGTTAAAATACACTGGATCACTTCACAGGGGGAAAAGTGGTTCCAGTGTAGGTGATTCCAGGGCAGTAACATGCTCTGGGAGGAAAGCATCTGTTCCTGCATCATCATTTACATTTGTATTTGCTGAAGATAGTTTGTCTCTGAACCCTTGAGCTAATTTGACGTTTAAAGCACATGTTCTGTATCCTGTCATATTCCTTTTATCTGAGTCTACAATCTTGCCACTCCTCTGCACATGATGTGTGCAGGAGGGATGGTTGTGTATCATTTTGTACTACTGAATGTAAACAGTCTTTATAAATGACTTTTGAAAGGTTGGAGTGTCTGGGCTCTTTTGTGCTTCTTTAACGGGCAGGAGGTAACCTGCACCTTATTGGTGGATGACACATTCGGGTGCCATGGCCAAGGTTGAGACACACGCAGGATGCGTGGTGAGGAGGTTGCATACTCAGAACATGCAGCCACACTGGGCCATGCCAACAGAGAACTGCCTCATTTGGCTTCTACTAGGTAAAGATGCATTGCATGCTGGAACAAGGGACACCTTGGGGCACCCCAGGACCTAGGGGCAGGTTCCTTGGTACTGCCAAGGCAGCGGCAAGTCCAAGATTGCAGCACTGGGGAAATGCTTTGGACTTGCAAGAACAGGAGGAGAGGAAATGAATGTCTATTTTTCTTTTTCATAGAATTACAGGATGGTTTGGGTTGGAAAGGACCTTAAAGCTCATCCAGTTCCAACCTCCCTGCCATGGGCAGCGACACCTCACACTCCACCATGTTGCCCAAGGCTCTGTCCAACCTGGCTTTGAGCACTGCCAGGGATGGAGCATTTACCACTTCTTTGGGCAACCTGTTCCAGGGCCTCACCACCCTCACAAGGAAGAACTTATTCCTTATATCCAACCTGAACTGCCCCTATTTAAGTTTAAACAGTACTTCAACAGTAGCAAAATACACAGAATGGTAGAGCTGTATGTAGAATAAATACTCATTTTCAGGAGGTCACATTACGAGAACATTATTAGGGTAACAAGAAACCATTCAAAAGTTAGATGAAGCCATGAAAAAGTCAAGCTCTGGCAACTGAAGTCAACCTCCCAGTGCAGGGACAATCCCAACACTGGCTTTAAGGACATGATCACATCTGTTATTTTAACTGGCCTTTTAACACGCCAGCGGTGTAAACAAAAGAGGATTAGTCCCCTCTGCTGTACACCATGACACAGGTCTTGCAGCTCAGTTAAATTGTCCTTCTTTCCTCCAGAAAAGAAAAGATGCCAGAAGTGACAGGGAGGAAAGTGACAGGAGTGAATGAGAGGAGCTGGCAAAGAACAAAGAGTAACACAGCTCTTGCTGCAGAACACCAAGAGGTGAGCAGGCTTTTAAAAGAGGGGAGGCTGAATGGGAGCTGGCAAAGAACAAAGAGTAACACAGCTCTTGCTGCAGAACACCAAGAGGTGAGCAGGCTTTTAAAAGAGGGGAGGCTGAATGGGAGCTGGCAAAGAACAAAGAGTAACACAGCTCTTGCTGCAGAACACCAAGAGGTGAGCAGGCTTTTAAAAGAGGGGAGGCTGAATGGGAGCTGGATGGAGAGGCTGGACAGGCTCACAGGTGGCTTCACAGTAGCCTGACTGAGGCATCACCCAATGTCTAGGTGGAAGTGAACTTCACTGTAGTCTTTACGGGCAGTTTAGTCACTTCAGGAGCTGTTTTCTTCACTTTTCCTGTTGGGACCATTGTTTTACTTCTTTATGATCCTTTATCCAGGAAACAAAAAAGGAGGTCTAGCAGCCAAAGTCTCACTGCAAACAGGAGAATAGGGGTTGAACAAGCTGCTGAAGTTATGACACCAACAGGAGAACAGGGGTTGAACAAGCTGCTGAAGTTATGACACCAAAAGGAGAAGAGGGGTTGAACAAGCTGTTGAAGTTACAACACCAACTGTGGCTATCTCAAAACCTTCCCAAAAGGTTCATGAGATCAGAAATTACAGCTGCTGAGCATTTAGTTGTCTTGCAGTTTCAGAAGATCCTGGCCATCATTGCCAGCCGCCTCATAAAGGACTTGCATGTGAAAGACACAAGCTTAACTGGGAAATAAGGTTTCAGTTGTAGAGTACAAAATGGTCAAGCTTTGAGGAAGGAGAAACCATTTCTCCAAATAAGGCCTGGCCAGTTGGTACAAGCTGTGATTGCTGCATGGGTCGCATGAAATAGCTCCTGTGTCTAAAGGACTGAATGGTAACTGAATGTCTCCTCAGGGAGAAGGCTTCTAAAACTGAAAGCAACTGAAACTCTTCCAAATGCATGATTTTTCCACCAGAAATTATCATTTAGTCTAAATGGAAGCTTTCAATAGGGATGGATTCATTTTGTTGAGGTTTCATTTTCAAAATTGGAAGTTAAGGGTGTTACAATACTAACATTTTAATGGGATGGTTTAGGGTTGGATGACTTTTCACCTTGTCTTTTGTTGTATCTGATGTCATTTTCTGAATTTATAGTAGAACACAAGATTGGAAGTCAATGTAAAAATGAATTACACCTAAAGCAGAGTCTGCTTTCCCCAGGTTCTGCATGATGCAGATGTTTTTTAGACTTCTATCAGTGGGAAGATCTTCTCAGAAACTTGCTGGAGGTGTGACATAGCATCATAGCATAACTGGGTTGGAAAAGACATTTGAGAGCATCAAGTACAACCGTTCCTCAGGCACTGCAAAGGCCACTAGTAAACCGTGTCACTAAGAGCCTCATCTACACATCACTGCTGACTCAAAGGCTCAGGAAATGCAGAGGGTGGCTAAATCCACATATATATGTGTCCACAGACAATATACAGATACTTGCAAACACTGCCTTTAAAATACATTTTCTACTCAGGCTTTGAATCTGCTTCTGAGGGGTCTGCCACAGTTTACACAGACGCTACGGGAAGTGCAAACAGGTGGAAAATGAAGGATGGTGCAACTAGAACACTTGAACTGATGAACGATGTGGCTTTAGGGAAATCAGTGGGTTTGTTCCCAGGAAGTCTCAAGCTCTCCTATGGGTTTGATTTGCAGAAGTGAAAAGTATTGTAATGGATACGGGTGCAATGTTCTTCTAAAGCTTCTTGATATTTAGTCAGTGCTTAAGGCAATTTTGATTGTTCCTCCTTTTTCCTCCTTGTGCTCCAGGCTCTTTGCTTGGCTAAGAGCTCCCCTAATTCACTGTGCTCTTATTTGGCTGAGGTAGGTGCCAGTTAAAAGTGTGGGGGTTTTGGTTACACAGTTCTGCTGCTATTGCTGCTCTGAAAGCAGCAGGAAAGACTGAAGAGCAAAGGGTAGAAACCATACTTTATTTTTAGCACAAGATTGACTTATCTTGTACTTATCTTAACTGGGGGGATAATGTTTCCAGAGACCTCACATGAGTAAAGGCTGTGTAAAGGCTGAGTTAATTTTAACTGCCTGGCAGTCAAGAAGCATGGAGCCTGCACAAGAACCAGAGGAGCTGGGACCTCAGACAGAAACGGTTGCAGACACAGTTCTTGAGGTTGGAGGGAGCCTCTTCCAGGTCAGCCGCAGGGCACTTTCCATTCACAGCCGTTATTTTGAAGCCATGTTTTTTGGGGGAGCACGAGAGAGCTCTGAGCACCACATAGTGATCAGAGGGATTGATGCAGTGCCCTTCCAGGCACTACTTGAGTTCACTAGCACAGCCCAAGTGCTTATAGAGCAAGAAAATGTGACCAGCTTACTGGAAACAGCTGATTTCTTTCAGTTTGACAGAGTGAAACTGTTGTGTGAGAAGTTTCTGGAGAGAGAGCTGCATGTTTCCAACTGCCTGGGCCTGATGACCTACTCGCAGCAATTTGCCTTTATAGAGCTGTACGCCTCTGCTATGAACGTGGCTCTCAGTCACTGGGGGGAGGTGATGTGCCAGGAAGAATTTAAGGCACTACCCAAAGAAATGCTGCTGCGGCTCCTACAAAGCGATGACCTCTTCGTTTCACGAGAAGATGTGGTTTTTGACAGTGTTATGAGGTGGATTGTGGAGGACCCAGCAACAAGAGAGGAAGACTTCCTGGACTTGGTGGGCCACGTCAGGGTCACTTTTCTGAGTCTATCCTTCCTTGATTTCCTGGTGAAGCGCAGCAAGTGCTCTGGGGAGGCAGATGCCTTCTCCAGGCTAATCAAGAAGTTAGACCGCTCTCCTCCACCCAGCTGGCAAAACACAGAACTGTATCCTCATGCGGGTCGGAGCTATGACACCTTATACGTCCTGGGAGGAAAGCATGACAAGGATCAGCAAGAATTATTTCTCTTTCACCCTAAAACAGGGACCTGGCAGGCTTGTTCTCCACTGCAGCGCAGGAACCTCACCCAGTATGCAGTGGCAGCAGTAGGTAACTCAAAGAGAAGTGGAACTGAGCAAATGCAGACAGAAGTTGAGGCTGAGAGACCCAAGTGCAGGGACTTCGGTTGCTTTTCCTGTAAATCTGTGCTGTTCAGTATTACTAAAACCTCACTCATATTTGTGCTTATATTCATTCAAAGAATGGTTTTGTTTTCCTTAGTCCTGGGAGCATGTTAGACAAGGGTGAATATTTCTTTTCATTTAGCAGAAACTATTGAACCAGAGTATCATAGAATGGTTTGGGCTGAAGGGACCTTAAAGGTCCTCCAGTTCCAACCCCCTGCCACGGGCAGGGACCCCTTCCACTAGAGCAGGTTGCTCCAAGCCCCTGTGTCCAACCTGGCTTTGAACACTGCCAGGGATGGGGCAGCCACAGCTTCTCTGATTTATAGTTGCCATGATGTTAAACTTGCCCATGGATTTTGTGAAATCTTCATGCTTGAAGACTTCCAAGGCAGCTTAGTACCATGGCTCCCCTTGTTTAGTGGGGGTGATAGTGCCATTTCAAGTGGGAGTTTGGATACCAGATCCCGAGAGGTTCTTTCCAGTCAGTGTTTGCATGATTTTGTTGAAGAGCAGGAGCAGGAGCAGCCTTGGAAGGACTCACTGCATCCTGCAGGCCCAGCACATCTGTGCAGATGAGGAACCAAATACTGCAAACTGATAGAAAGAGCAGTAATTTTCTCTGCTCATCTTGTACCTCATTGTTTACGGCCCAGGGACAAATGAGAGCTGCAGCTCTTGGGAGCAATTTTTAGCCTTCATGTAACAGATACTTTTCTCTGCTGTCTTTCCAGGGAGCTTCTTGTTTGTGACAGGAGGATATTTCCGGGATGAGTTTGTATGGTATAGTGTGGATTGGGTTCTTACCTACAACTGCTTGGACAATAGCTGGCTGGAAGGCCCTGCCATGAAGAAGTCCCGCAATAGCCATTGTGCAGTAGGAGCAGGGCTCTACCTGTATGTGCTTGGAGGGAGCACAGATGAAGGGATAATCCCAGCAGTGGAGCGCATGGCTTTGGTAGACTCAGAGTGGGAAAGCATGAGTCCTATGGCTCAGCCTGTGGAGAGGGGCGATGCGGTCAGCATGGGAACCAGGATCTATGTGGTCTGTGGCCTGGATGAAAATGGACATGTCTATGATGGAGTGCAACGGCTGAACACAGAGACAGACAGCTGGGATGTCATCTCATTCTCCCCACTTCCAAGGTAAGAATTAATCCTCTGGGACCTGGCAGGAGAGGAAAGGTTCTAGTGCTGGTCCTGCTCCAAGAAGAGGTTGGACTAGAGAAATCCAGAAGTCCACCAACACTTTACGATTCTCTGCTAAACGGAACTCTTGATTTGAGGACCAAGGTCACACTGAATGTTTCAAGGCCAGATCTTTCTATTGATTCTGATCAAGGGTTTCTTTCCTCCCAGGTATGATCTCTGCATCACATCACTAAATGGTGCTCTATACACCATAGGAGGAGGAGCCTTTCGGTTCGATGTGGAGACAGATGAATGGACCCAGGTGGATGAGGAATGCTTGACCCACAAGTTCTTCATGGGGTGCAGCACTGTGAACGGACGAATTTATCTCCTTGGACAGAGGAAGGGGAATGGTGCCCTCCCCATTGTAGTCCTCTTCGATCCCTACACTGATACATGCCAGGTCATTGATAACAAACTCCCTTGTCCCCTTCCTATTAATGGATGTGTCTCTGTGCGAAGATTTGATACATGGGCATGAGCCAAGCCAGATCCAGCCTGACCAGAAAGAAAAAGTCCTTTGCTTTCCAGCTGATGGGAGTTAGATTGTATCAGGTTTGGGCTAAGAAATGTTTTAGTTTGGAGAACAACTCTGTTCCTTCCTAACTGTCTGATTTTTACTACCTGGCAAATGAACCTGAAGCAAAAGCTGGTGGAACCCTTGTGTCTACACAAAGATGGCATCACCGAAGAGTGGTCAGTGTTGTGATGGTACATAAACTCCTCAGGATGAATGCTAAATAAAGGGCTGCTGTGACCTTGAACCTCTGTGGTACTCCATCCACAACTTGTAGAGACAGAAAAGTCATTGCACCAGTGTTGGAAAATATTGTAGGAGTAAAATGATAAATGTGCGTCAAAAGAACCTTAAGGAGGATGTGTGAGCTCTTAGTGCTGTAGGACAGAGCAAAAAACCCCAACCAGCCACTGCAGTGAAGCCATACCCAGTGACAGCATCATTTCAGCCTGAAATAAGCGAGTTTCCCAGTTTATATGATTATGGGTAAAACTACCTTTATTCCAGGCTGAAACGCACCACAGGGGGGAGGCTGTTCTGGATTTATGCATTTGACAAGGGCCTGTAGGGACAGGACAAGGGAAATGGCTTTAACCTGCCAGAGGGGAGATTGAGATGAGCTCTGAGGCAGAAGCTCTTCCCTGGGAGGGTGCTGAGGCGCTGGCACAGGGTGCCCAGAGAAGCTGTGGCTGCCCCATCCCTGGCAGTGTTCAAGGCCAGGTTGGACACAGGGGCTTGGAGTAACGCAGGGGCTGGGAGTAACCTGCGCCAGTGGAAGTTTCCCCTGCCTGTGGCAGGGGGTCGGAGCTGGAGAGCTTTACAGGCTCCTTCCACCCAAACTAGTCTGTGAGTCTATGAGATCCTCTATTCAGCAGTCTCTGAAATGCCCACCAGAAATGCATGAGTCCTCAGAAAAGGGACCAGACGCTCTCAGACATCTCTCATTGATTTCTCGTCTCTGAGTGGAGCACAAGTTCTGATCTGGTCCCTCCTAATTTTGCTGTGTTTATGCCCCTTCTGAACAAATGGGATCAGATTTACAACTGAGGAGACCTGCAATGTCAGGTGTAGAGCACTTTTTCCAGACTAAAGCCCAGACATTTAGGAACAGATTAATTTGTATTTATTTACTCAAAAATTCTCAAATCTTGTTATTTCTTCAGTATAAAAGAAATAAAAATGTTTACTTACAAATCAAGTTCTAACAAGCAGAACCACAAGCTACAATATAAAAATATGCAGTATTTCCAGACACTGCCTACAATTGAACATCAGGATCTTAAATATTCTTCCCCTAAAATTCTGAGTATCAAATAGGTACTTCCACAAGGTTCATGCCATTTAGCCAAGAATCATCCTTGAACTTAGTTCAGTCCTTCTGTACAAACGTGGGAGCCTTCTGATACACAGATCAAAGCCACAAGGCCTGAAACAAGTGCTAGTAAAGCTCTTCTTGGCTACATAGCCTGTAAAGGTGATGACAAGGTACTATACAAAAATAGTCTTCTTCCTGCGTGTGCTGGAGCAAGCAGGCAAAAGAGACTGAACTGAACAGCAGGAAGACTATAGCATATTGCTTCTTAGCCGAGTACTGCTATCTAAGAGGAAGAAAATCATGTTCTAATGTATTTAGGCTTTAGATTAATTTAAATACATTTTAATGTATTTAAAAATGTAAATGATATAACCAATATTCAGGGCATTCTTTACTAATTTTATGTGGTTGTTTCAAAATCAAGATCAAGAGGGCCTCACGTAATTCCATGACAATATATTACCCCCTGTCAGCTCTAAACAGTGTAGTTACACATTTAGTGGGAGGGGGGAACTCAGAACTTCCTTCTTACACATCATGCCCCATCCTCACATCATTTATGGAAAGCCACAAAAATAAGAACTGACCATTCTTTCACGCTAACAAATACACATTCAAACTCCCTCCCCCAAACCACAAAGCTTCTCAACACACTAATAGTTTCCTCTGATGATTCACACCCTTGAAGTCTTCAGAGACAATCAAAAGAAAGCACTAGCCATCTTGCTGCTGAATGAAAGGATTTGGAATAGCTTCCATCCCATCCTGTGGGCAAATAAGAACCACAGAAGTCCCTCTGCAGACCACAAGTCCCAGCTGACGTGTGTCTTCTGTTAATTTATACTGATCATCTGGATCTGAAAAGGAGAGATCCACAGTTAAAATGGCAACATAAGTCAAAGAAACCAAGTTCCATCAGCTTCAAAAGGCACAGACATACAGGTCTTTTTCTAGGTGTCTGTGCATTGTTTCATTGAACACCTGGGCTATAGAAGTGATGCAGCATAAGATCTGATGTGTTCAGGACATTACTGATTTTCAAATTAGTACATGCCACAGTGAGCAATAAAGAGCTTTGCTTTGTATGCAAAGCAGAACATGTATGTTGTAAAGAATTCAAAGGCCCTTTCATTCATCTAACCAAAAGCATACATAAAAGTGATTAAAAAAGCTCCCGATCCCATTTCAAATGCCATTATAGGCAAACATTTTGGAATTGGCAAATCAGAAAGAGACCCTGACTTAAGAATACACTAAGTGCATAATCATAGAATGGTTTGCGTTGGAAAGGATCTTAAGATCATCTATTTCCAACCCCCCCCGCCATGGGCAGGGACACCTCACACTAGACCATATCCCCATACCAAGCCAAACAAAGACAAACCCTTAGCACAGCAGTAGCTAATTTCACCCTCCTTAAGATATATATACTTAGTAAAATATACTCAGTATAAATGCACTACATATCTTCTACAACTCCCTTCTAACAGCAAAATTAAAGCATCAGGTGCTTCTTTGCTAGAAGGCAAGGCTCTTCAAAAATGCTGTCCTATCATATGATAAATTTTGTTTCAGAAAGAAAAATGGAAGTTTTTATCCTTGGATGGGAAACTCCCCCAAATTACATGAAAGTTCTATTAGCTCTGCAAAGCCACAGAAAACTTTAGTTCCACAGAAATGTAAAGACTGCATTTACAGAAGATTTTAAGATAGCAGGATACTAGTTCTTGCTGAGATACTTCTCCTGCTTTGGGCAAACTGGCAACCCTCCAGTAGTAAAAAGAGGGGCAAAGGAAATTCCCTTATCTGATGAGACACATACAACTTTATTCAAGCTCTAGAGGACAAGAGGGGCAAATGAGTTATAGAAGAGCTCAAGTGAGCACTACCAAGAATGTTCTACCACAGGGAACGTGCTTAACCTAACTTGTTATCCCTCTCTTTACAACTTACTTATCATGAACATGTCTCAGTTTGGATGATGTCAACCTGCAGTTTCTGGTTATTCACTCACAAAGCTGCAAGATTTCCTGGTGGGGGAAGGAGCTTTTATACAGAGAGCAGGTTACTTACCTCGCATGTATTCAATGGTACCATCAAGCACAAGATTCAGAAGAGGGTCAAATCCTTTCAAGACACCACTTGCTATTGAAGACCACACATAAAACAAAGATGAGAGACCAAAATCAGGTATACAGCAACATGAAACTGTGTGAAGAACAGGCTCAGTTCTCCAGTTCTGTTCCCTCCTTCAATCAAGGTTAGCAAGCAAACGAGACCACTGACACGAAACAGTGCCCTCTTCATCAAAGTGCAAATGCAGGGGCACCCCCACCTGTGCTGTCAGCTGGAACTCACAGGGGGTTTAACCAATTCTTCAAAACACTAACATTTGTCTGCTCTGAAAATTTCAGGGGCATTTTACAACTGTTTAGCATAACAAATAAGTCTAAGTCACACATACACAAACCCAGCAATCCCAAAACTAAACAAACACTCTTAGCACAGGGGCATGGCAAAAAATGAAGCAAGACTGTAATGTTTTGAAGTGCTTTCCTCAGAGACCCCATCTTGCAGCAGCTTTTTAACATAAGCACTGACTCCACAGAAAGACACTGCAAACAAACAAGCACTTTGTCCTCAACCAGCCCACGATTCCACAAGCCTAGTCACTAAATAAATCACAAGACTACACAGAATGATGTCCCAGGATGACAAATACTTTTTGATTACCACTAACAGCCCAAATGAAACGGGACTCTTACAATCCCAGGTGTTATATGAACATCATGGAAGAATTTGGTGTGAATTGTTTGAGAAGAAAATCTAAAGCAGTGGATTCAATGGAATTAAGAACTGCCCAAAAAACACCAACAAAGAAAACCACACGAACCCCAAACACACTTATCAATAAAGAGGACAAGCAACCTCATAAGCATCAGGACCCAGGGGAGTTTTAACACGATTCTAACAGCATGCTGCCAACTTTGAGACAAACAAGCAGTCTGCAGGTGGCACTACCAGCTGCACCGGGATGGACAACTGCACATACACAGCAAGAGAGAAGAAGGGGGAATAGTGACATAAGAGCTTCAGAAGTGACAAGAAGACACAGCGAGATATATTGAAGTAAGGATGAAGTTTACTGTGAGGGTGCTGAGGCGCTGGCACAGGGTGCCCAGAGAAGCTGTGGCTGCCCCATCCCTGGCAGTGTTCAAGGCCAGGTTGGACACAGGGGCTTGGAGCAACCTGCTCTAGTGGAAGGTGTCCCTGCTTGCGGCAGGGGCTGGAGCTGGGTGAGCTTTAAGGTCCCTTCCACCCAAACCAGTCTGGGATTCTGTGATCTCCAGGCACATTTAGCATGCTAAGAGATGAAAGGGATAACAGGCTAGTTAATTATAACACCCATAAATGTTTCTTTGCTGCTTTAAGTGTACCCCTGCAGCGTGAAAAAACAGCTAGAAGAAACATGACAGTTGAAGACAGTTAACAAAAGATTGAAGAACAGGTCAAGAATGAAACACTGCGATAAAACTGCAGGCGGGGGCTAATGGCAAAGTTAAAGTAGAGAAGCTTTTACAACGGTAAGAGCAAATAACAAGGAAGAACCACCCACTACTCATGGTCTTTCCTTACAAGAAAGGAACGGGCCCACACAGCAGACAAGAAAAAGCCCAGTCAGCCCCATGCCGCAGAGGCGCACACCTCACCCGGCCTCACCTTCTCTCCCACCTTGGAACTTCACTCGGATCGTTTTGTCGATGTATTTGGACAGGTCCAAAATACTCTCCTTCTTCTTCTTCTCCTTATCCTAAAAGAGAGGAGTAAAGGCAACCTGCATTGAGAAGAGTCCCTCCCCGCTCTCTCCCCCTCCACCCGCTTCCACATATAAACTGAATCAGGCTCCTTTTTATCATGCGGGTAACAGAAACCACCCAAAGGGAGAGCGAGGGAACAGAGTGACGGGGCGGCAGCGGCCACGAACCC